GCGGCTCACCGCAACCTCCGCCTCCTGGGTTCAGGCAATTCTCCTGCCTCAGCCTCCTGAGTAGCTGGGACTACAGGCACGCGCCACCATGCCCAGCTAATTTTTTGTAGTTTTAGCAGAAATGGGGTTTCACCGTGTTGACCAGGATGGTCTCGATCTCTTGACCTCGTGATCCACCCGCCTCGGCCTCCCAAAGTGCTGGGATTACAGGCGAGAGCCACCGCGCCCGGCCATCTAGCTACATCTTGAATGCCACCAAGCTTTAATTCTTCATCTCTGAAGTGGGAATGACAAAGGCACCAACCTCAAACTGCTGTGACAAGGCTGTGTTTCAAAAGAAATATCAACTGTGTACCAATGGATGAATGCCTTGTAAAAAAAAAAAACGAGAAAAGGAAAATAAGTATAAACAGCAACAGTGCTTGGCATATTGTAAATAAGTGCACAAGTAATGCTAGTTCCCAAAGCTGTTGTTGCCACTGAACCCTCAATCCCTATTCTCTTCTGAAACCCTTTAGCAATGTGATTCTGTCTTGTCCTGTGCCTGTTCATCTCTAGCACGAATTTCAACCACAAGGCCCCTTCTACATTTCCCTCAGGCTTATGAAGCCAAAATATCCAGAGTTTTGCTTAGGGGTGTATAATATCATATTTAAATTTTTAGCCAGGAAAGCACTGTGTATGATTGGGATATAAAGCGCCCGGCTTGGTGGCCCACACCTGTAATCCCAGCACTTTGGGAGGCTGAGGTAGGTGGATCACCTGAGGTCAGGAAATCCAGACTAGCCTGGCCAACGTGGCAAAACCCCATTTCTACTTAAACTACAAAAAATTAGCCGGGCGTGGTGCCAGGCACCACCACCCACCCAAGGGGATGGGGTCGGTGTGTGTGTGAAGCAGGAGAATCATTAGAACCCAGGAGGTGAAAATTGCAGTGAGCCGATATTGAGCCATTGCACTCCCACCTGGGCGACAGAGCTAGACTCCCTCACAAATAATAAAAAAAACAAGTTAGCGTCTAGGTTTTATGTTACTCACACTTTCATCATACATGAACAACCTCATAAATATTCATGATTGAATTATCAGTCAGTTCTTTATGCAGTATTCATTGACTTTTTTGGCTAATCAGCAGTGTTCTTGGAATTATTTAAATATTATTACTGTTATTCAAAATGATTTTATAAAACTAATTTTAAAATAAAAATGATATAATAATGTATAAGTTTTTAAGAATATCATAATATCAACCCAAATGATTTCACATTGGCATAAGAGTTATTTTCAGCTGAAGGCAATTGAGAATCAACAGATACAGGAAGAGTTCTCTGTCTTCTCCTTACCCAAATAAAGTAGGGCATGTATTTCCCTTTGTGAAGGTAACAGAAATTTCCCTTGTAAAAGTGTCCCAACTTCTACACCAGGAAAAAAAAGCAACTCTTTTATCACTAGATGTGCAAGGTTGGCACTGAGATGAATCTGCAAAAACAAACCTTACTACAATAACTTCTTTCATTTTACCTTCCGTGTTTTTTTTTTTTTTTTCCCCATGTGTTTCCTAGTCACATTCCCACAATTTGTCATCCGTGAAGCCCAAACTCCCTTTCCTTTGTTGGAATGGTATATAAGTCCGTGAGTCTAACTGCTTTTTTAAGGTTTCACTTTTTTTTCTTCGTGAACTCTGTGTATATAATATACTAATAAGATTGTATGCTTTTTTCCCCGTGTTAATTTGTCCTTTGTCAGTTAAATTTGCAGGACACTAGTTAGTGAACCTGAGAGTACAGAAAAAAAATGTTTCCTCATTGACAGTTTCAAAAACTAAATGAGAAAGAATCTTTCTCATCCTAAAATGGCCACTTTTTAGATACAAATGAATGGGTCATTAGACCGAAGACAGTCAGCTATGTGAACAATTGTGATGGAATAAAACAAAACTAAAGAATGTGAAGAAAATTGAGAAAATATGTGGAAGACTGAATCTAAAAATCTAGGTTGAATTGAAAATTTTTGTAATTTTTAACTCTGCAAATTAAAGCAATGTGTTTCATTTTATGGCTTTCATCTGTGGAAACATGGTTGCAGAAGACATTTGCAGTTAGGATTAATTGAAAGTACATAAATCCAATAGATTAAGACCACAAAGGGCATTGAAGGAAAATTAGAAAATCAACTCTTTTTGCTTAGGTTGATTCCATTATTAACTCTTGGCATTGATGTGAAAATCAACTACATGGGCAGCCATGAAAGTATTTGAGAGAGAAAGAAACACAGAAGTTCAATGTACCATCACTTTATTTTTATTTATTTATTTTTTTGAGACGGAGTCTCTGTCACCCAGGCTGAAGTGCAGTGGCATCAACTTGTCTCACTGCAACCTCTGACTCCCGGGTTCAAGTGATTCTCCTGTCTCTGCCTCAGGAGTAGCTGGGATTAGAGATGTGTACCACCACTCCTGTCTAATTTGGTCAGGCTGGTCTCAAACTCCTGACCTCAGGTGATCTGCTGGCCTCAGCCTCCCTAAGTGCTGGGATTACAGGCATGAGCCACCGCTTTCAGTGTTTTTTATTTATTTTATTTTATTTATTTACTTTTTTAATGTGTGATGTGAGATGGAGGTACAGGAGGTAGAAAGAATCTTAATGTACATATGGAAAAATTAAAAATGAAATAACCAGGAAAAATTCTGGAAAATAATAATGAGAGGAAATAAGCTCTATCAGCTATTAAAGTCATGTTACAGCATCTCAGTTTATTAAACATGCATTTACATTAGTCTTCCCTGGGGATAAAAATAAGGAGAGTCTAATGTAAAAGCATGTTTCATAAACCCTACCTCCAGTGGATGCCTGAAACCACAGATAGTACTGAACCCTATAAACACTTTTTTTCTATACATACATAGCAGTGATGGATTTAATTTATAAATTAGGCACAGTAAGAGATTAACAGTAACTGATAATAAAATATAACAACTATAGCAATATAGTGTAATAAAAATTATTTGAGTCTGGGAGCAGTGGTTCATGCCTGTAATCCCAGCACTTTGGCAGGCCAAGGCAGGAGTATGACCTAAAGTCAGGAGTTCGAGACCAGCCTGGCCCACATGGTAAAACCCCATCTCTACTAAAACTACAAAAATTAGCTGGGCATGGTGATAGGCGCTTGTAATCCCAGCTATGCAGGAGTCTGAGGTAGGAGAATCGCTTGAACCCAAGAAGTGGAGATTGCAGTGAGCCGAGACCGTGCCATTGCACTGCAGCCTGGGTGACAGAGAGAAGCTCAGTCTTGTAAATAAATAGTTACTTGACTGTGATGTCTCTCAAAATATCTTACTGTTCTACTTGTGATGATGTTTGATGATAGGATGTGAATGTCTGTAATTAGATGAAGTAAGGCAAATGGAGTAGGCATTGTGAAGTAGCATTAGGCTCCATAAGGTACTACATATTTAGGTACTATTTGAACACCTGCCATGTGTTACGTATTTGTCTCAGCACTGAGGATAGCACTGCAAACAATATTTAAAACAGTACAATCCTACCTTAAGAATGGCAGGAATGACCAAAGGAACAAAATAGAAATCTGAGAAACTGGAGACAGTCCAACTGTCCATGGAATTATAACCTATTACCCTATAACAAAAATTGCCAAAATTGATAGGTGTGTGTGTGTGTGTGTGTGTTGGGGGGCGGGGGCCGTGATGAGGGAGGGAGAAGGGGAAGCAGAAATGAGTTCATAAATGGCCTTGGGAGAAAATATGTCTACATATTAAATCTTACACTAAAATAGAGGGTTTATCATGTAAACCATGTTGTAATGTAACATTAATAACACAAAATCACTTAAACCGTAGAATTTTTTTCCTTCTTCCCTGTTTCTGCCTCGCTGTCTGTCTGCCTCCCTCGCCTTTCTCCCTTCCTTGGGATAAATCTGTGCTTATCATCACTAATACAGAAATTAACTCACTACGTTCATCATTGTGGAGATGGTAGACTGAGCAGCTTATCTCCAGAAGCCCTGGTTCCCGTAACTTACGTCTCACCAAAATGTGCCCAGCAGATTTTAAAAAGCGCATATAGTACTCTAGGCTTTCTGTGTTCAGAAGCACCATGCATGTCAAATAGAGGGAACCATTAACGAAGGCCTTTATTAGAAATGTCTCCAATTTATACATACACTAACTTAGTTAATAGTATAAACTACTTTATTCTCTGCGT